GTAATAAAAGCCGAGGGAGGTCAACAGTGATCACTGACTGTTTTAGGAGCTTTTTGAGATTAAATAGAAGAAAATACAAAACATTAAACATGTTAACAACACAAACTCCCGGATAGGGAGCGCCAGAGCACTTTGGTCTCAGACTGCATTCTCTAAAGGTAGAATGGGAGGCAGAGCTGTCAGATATCAGGACCCTCCCAGTTTGGGTTCTGGAGACAAACACCTCTATTTTTAGGATTTCTTTTACCCTTCTTCTACTTTTTTACTACCCATGTGTTTTATATACAACTACTGCATGCCCTCAACTTTTGCCTTTTCTCTCCCGTAGTTTGTGTTTAGTCCTTATCTCTGTATACGCTCCTTTTTTCTCATCTCTCTTCACTTCACCGCTGCTCCTCCCTTCAACTGATTTTACCAGGGATCTCTTTGTGTTAAGAGGGGGATACTAATAAGGAAGAATTCATTAAATTGCTGCTGCTTTCTCTATAACATTGTAGGCTTTACCTTACGATATAAAGCACCTAGAGGTGACTGTTGTGAATTAGTGCTATATAAATAAAACAATAAATAAAAGTAAAAAAAAATTGAATTAAATAGTATTACAGGTTGTATTGCTTTTTGTCAGCATGTGTTCGAGCTGTTCAGTAGTTTTTTTTTAAAGAATTATCACCTCAAAACTCAATCTGTTGCTATAATTTTCTCAGAAATCCTTAATTTCCGTATAAATTATATGACTCATTTTCTACACAGTGAAAGGCCATTCAGTGAGACACAGCACTTTGGCAAACATTTGGTTCCATTCCTGAAAAGGTGCTCCCAGTTTAATTCAGCAATCCAGCACGCAGCACTAATACACACACACACACACACACACACACACACGCTCCTTTGTAAATTGGTTTGGTCCGGGCTATTTCAAAAACACATTATTTAGTCCAGTCCACAGAGAGCTGTATTAATATAAACGGACAGAGGTGGAGCTGTTTTGGCCTGTGCTGCTGAAATCAATGTAATCCTGTGCAGACTAATGGGAAGTTAAAGATCCAATCAGAGGGTTGGGGAGTCCCTCAGATGATGTCGATAGACTTCCTGGAAGCAGTACGAGGTTCTGCAGCAGCACACAGGCATGTGTGTTCACACACACACACACAGCTTGCCACATCTACACTGACTGTCAGACTAACACACTGCATTTACCAACAGAGCTGCAGTTGTAGCAGGGAGGCAATGCATACACAAACATTACCATTATTATATTTGAACACAAATAAGAGGAACTATAAAGCAAATAAGATCAGCCATAGAAGCACAAATTAAATCTGACCTGGAAAAAAAATCTCATATGTGCACTTTTTTTTTTACATTTCATGACACAAATCCATGCAGGCATTAATTATACACAATTATAATTTCTTCTGGAATTAATAAAGAACTCTGATTCTGATTCACACACAGACACACTCAAAAACACTTGAACCCCCAAGTGCACACTTAGCAGGTACACCCACACACACTCACACACACACACACACACGCACATCCCATAAGTCATTCTTGATCTGTTCCTCTCTCTCTCTTTCTCTTCCAGCTCCATAATCATCATCTTGTGGTTGGCAGGCAACCAGATGACAGTGCTATCAAAGGAGGATGGTACCCAGCAGGAAATCTTTTTTGCACACACAGAATCACACCACACCAGTCCATCTTATTTGCTGCTGTGCATGTTTTGATTTACAGTGTCATGCAAAAAGTCTCGAGCTTCCCTTCATTTCTTTATTTTGCTTCAAGGCTACCAGACCATTTTGTAATTTTTAAAGTGGTCTTGGGCAGCAGTATTCCAGGCTTTTGGAAGGTCTTTCAAAGGGTTTATTTGGGCATTGGTGGATTTTTTTTTTTTTTACTCTAGTCCTTGTACCGGACTATTTTCAGAGGAATGGTTCTATATTTATTGAGACACTTAACAGAGACTATTAATTAAGCCTGTCACAAAAACACATAACACATTTATTCCAATTTCTTTAGCTGAATCTTTGAAAAATTATAAATATAAAACAGTTTGACAGGCATGAAACTGCATTTTTACCCCAACAACATTATTATCAAAGAACTATTAGCTGAAAACTTAGCATGTCTTATCATGGTGTGTGGCGTATAGTATTTACAGCAGATTGACAGAATCAAAAAATACAGAGAAACAAAAACAGGGAGATGCATTTGGCCCTTCAGATGCATCTACTCATAGCTAAATTTCAGCGAGTGGTGTTGGGCATCTTGTCAAAATTGATCAAATTATGAATGCAATCTGGAAAGTATGTGATTAGCAACATGCTCATTTTTCAGTATGACAACGAACCAAACACGCTGCCAATGCAGTACAAGCATAACAGCAGCATGCTAACAGTCAGGTACTTGCTTCCCCTGTTCCCCACTCGGGATTTGTCCTGTAGAACATGGATGTTTTTGTCCTATATAGCTGTAATCAGGCCTCTAATTTGCCTTTTATCTGTGCACAGGTGCAAAAAAGAAGAGCAGCTTATGCATGACAGTAGAAACAGGCATCTAATTATTCATGTGCCAAAACACATTAAGGTTCTATTGGCAAGAATTCAACAATCCAGCACCTCCACATGGCATTCATTGTTTTCTGGTTTACACAGCATCTACACAGCATTTATACAAAATGAGCTTTTGTTTAAAAGAAATGTTATTTATATTTTTATAAATATGCTCTATATAATGTTGTTATATTTTAACAACATGGTGCCTGATTTCTGTTTGTAAATATATTTTGCAAAACAATTTTTAATGCAGTGGCAGTTTGGGGTCACTGTGCAGAAATGAATGTGCTGTCATTCATATCTGTAAATAAATGCTCATTAAACACTGATGCTATTAGTACCTGTCACTGATTGCTTTGTGTTACATTACATAAAGCTTTACATAAAGCTTGCAAAAAATCAGAAGACTAATTATACAGTAAGGGAAAAAATATTTGAACTGCCAGCTGATTTTGTAAGTTTTCCCACTAACAAAGAAATGATCAGTCTATAATTTCAATGGTAGGTTTATTTGAACAGTGATAAATTAGTTTATAAATTAATTTGCATTTTGATGAATGAAATAAGTATTTGATCTCCTATTCGGGAGCAAGATTTCTGGATCCTAGGTGTATTTTATACAGGTAACAAGCTGACGCTGGGAGCCTTCTCAACTAGTTACCTGTATAAAAGACCGCTGTTCACCATGCCCAAGACCAAAGAGCTTTCTAAGGATGTCAGGGACAAGATTGTGGACCTACATAAGGCTGGAATGAGCTACAAGACCATTGCCAAGCAGCTGGGTGAGAAGGTGGCATCAGCTGGTGTGAACATTCGCAAATTGAAGAACCATAAAATAACTCCCTCAATCCGGAGCTCCATGCAAGATCTCACCCCGTGGAGTTTCAATGACAATGAGAACAGTGTGGAACCAGCCCAGAACTTGTCAATTGTCTCAAGGCAGGCGGGACCAAGCCGCTAGTTACCAAGAAAGCAGTTGGTAACACACTATACCGTGAAGGACTGAAATCCTGCAGTGCCCACAAGGTCCCCCTGCTCAAGAAAGCCCGTGTACAGGCCTGTTTGAGATTTTCCACTGAACATCTCAATGATTCAGAGGAGGACTGGGTGAAAGTGTTGTGGTCAGATGAGACTGCAATCGAGCTATTTGGCATCAACTCAACTCGTGTTTGGAGGAGAAGAAGGAAAACTGCCTCTGATTCCAAGAACACTGTCCCCACCGTCAAACATGGAGGTGGAAACATTATGCTTTGGGAGTGTTTTTCTGCCAACGGGACAGGACAACTGCACCACATTGCAGAGAGGATGAAAGGGGCCATGTACCGTCAAATCTTGGGTGAGAACATCCTTCCCTCGACAAGGGCATTGAAAATGGGTCTGAGTGGGTATTCCAGCATGACAATGATCCAAAACAAACGGCCAAAGAAACAAAGGATTGGCTCAAGAAGAAGCATATTAAGGTCTTGGAGTGGCCTAGTCAGTCTCCATACCTTAATCCCACAGCTTGAACCTTCAAGTTGCCAAACATCAGCCACAAAACAAAAATGACAAGGATAGGATCTGCAAAGAGGAATGCGACAAAATCCTCCCTGAGATGTGTGCAAAATTTGTGGCCAACTACAAGACACGTTTGACCTTCGGTTTTGCGACCAAGTACTAAAGCACTTTTTTCAAAGGGATCAAATACTTATTTCCTGCATGAAAATGCAAATTATTAACTTTTTCTGGATTTTTTGGTTATTGTTCTGTCTCTCGCTGTTCAGACAAACCTACCATTGGAATTATAGACTGATCATTTCTTTGTTAGTGGCCAAACTTACAAAATCAGCAGGGGTTTAAACGATTTTTCTGACTGTATGTATTTCTTTTTTATTTGTTTGGTTGTTGTCAGCAGCTGTTTTTGCCATGTAGCTATACAGAGTGATATGAAAAAACACAACCAATGTATGTTTTATTACAGGACCAAAGCCAACAGGCACTGCAAGCCTCCCAAAAATGAAATTGCTAGTTTGTATTACGTCCATAGATTCACATGTGTGGTAAAGGCTGAAACTCGAGAGGAGCACTTTGACCTACTCACCCTTCTTTGGTTTCTCTCATATCCACTGAGCTCTATCAGCTATCAGCAAGAATGATCAAACTAAACTAAAGCATACGTAAGTCTGTTTTTGAACACCCACATACACACAGCAAATCAGCTCATGTAAGATACTTTAACTGATGCTGCTAAAGATCTCTGTTTTTAAAGAAGACTTAAAAGTGCTCACCTCGTAAGCATTCTTGATATTGAGTGGTTGTCCCGTAGAAGCTACGTGTCCCACAATCCCTTTGTTCCACTCCAGTCGGATAGAGTTACTGGAAGATTCTTCCAGTGTGGTTCCTTCTGCCACATCAAACAGCCGGCTGACCAAGAACTTCCTGTTTGAGCTATCCTCACCCACCTGAGACCAAAAACAAAAAGTAGCAACACAACTGAAATAAAACTAATGACTGAAATAGAGGTTATAAGCCAATACTGTACATATGACAAAAACACAAATAATTATGTTTTTTTTGCATGTTCCAGTTTTGGTGACTGTTAGCATCTTATATTTACAGTTTAACTTTTTATTCCAAAAGACTAAATCATAAAAAAAATGATATAGAGGAATTTTTAGCATTTACAACATAGCATTTATAGCAAAGTAATATTGCTACACTCTTTTTTATCACAGTGTTAAGAGAGCATCACAATAATTGTGAAATATGAAATAAACCACAGCCTGCTTTTGTTTTTACCAGATGACCATGCGCTATAGTCACTTCCTTTCTTTACAAAGATGAGACAAGAACAACAATTGCGTGCGGAGCTAGAGCCAGAGGGTAATTAACTTAGCTAAGCATGCTAATCACTTCTAGCTTGCAACACAAGCACCTGATACTTGTATTAAAGCTCCATCCAACTCTGAAAAACACTGCTCAGAATCAAATTTTAAAATGTGTAACTACTGCTTTAAGCTTACCACTAATGATAAACTCATGAAATGAAATAACATTCATGCATACATGTAACTTTTTGTTAGGGAGCACAGTGACAGGCTTAGTGACAGGAGATTTACGTTGTTCTACATAAACTGTTAAATAAAACGAGGGTGGCAATGTAATACGCTTCTTGTAACGTACTAGTGAGCATATAAAGAAGCGTATCTTCTTTTTGTGCTCTGCAGTAGTTAAATCAGTTACAACTGTAGCTTTCTTTCCTGACGTACCAGAAACAGTGAGTAGCGGTCTGCAGCAATCAGCTCATTGATGTGGAGGAAGATCTTATGGCAGAGCGCTGTCACATCCAGATGACTCGATACATCCTTCACCAGCTCCAGCAGCCTGGCACAGCGGTCACCCTCAAGACCACCACCACCTCCATTCCCACCTCCCCCACCAATACCACCCTCACCCATCACCAAGCCCCTCACAGGGACAATTTCACGGTCAGCGTCACTCAAAAATGTCAAAGAGCCCTCTGAGTCTTTAACCACAATGGGTCTGAGTGGGCGGTCAAACTCTGACGCTGAGATTTTGCGAGTTGGGGTGCCAGGGGCCGGGCTGGAGACTGTAGCTGGGGAAGGACAGCGGTTGTCCAAGTGGCTGAGGCTAGGTGGGAGGATGGTGGAGGCACAGGAAGGGCCAAGGTCAGTGGTGGACTGGTGGGCTCGCTGCTGTGAAGGACTTTCTTTGGACACAGATGGCTGAAAGGAATGGATGCGTTCAGCAAACCAGGCATTCACCATCTCCCTGTCAAAATTAAAAAGAAAATGTCCGTCAGAAGTTTTTAGAAAATCTCCAAAACATTATGACCACCCACGACTAAAAGGCTGTTGGTACTTGGCATGATACCAAAACAGCTTTAGACCACATAAGCCTTGTCTGCACAAGTGCACATATTGACCAGAAGAACTGTCTTACTTACCCACACATATATCTCAAACCTTAATATGCTCCATTGTTAGATCTATTGTTAGGAGGTAATCAGTCTAATTTGCTTCAACTGTGAGTAGACATACTGTTTTGGCTCATAGGGTTAGATTACCTGCAGATATACTATATTATATATGAAGCCTTTTTGAGTAAATGCACAAGGCAAATTGATTGACAGGTAGACTGTGATTAGTGCTGTGTTGCTAATCAAAGCCAAACTCCTGCACAAATTCTTGTCTGCTACTGCATCAAAACAAAAACAGACATTAATCAAGAACAGTTTGCCGAAATTTATTCTGCAATTAGAATAAAAATGGAGAACGATACGAATTCAAATCATTTGTTAGGCATCTCATTACAGGCTGAATTTGAAATTTTTTTCCATCATGAAATGATTTCAATGCCCGTGTAGTGGAAAGAAGAAGAACATTAAAATTTAACCAGATGATCACATTATACACACTTTAATCTAATAAAAATCTCTTCTTTGTACCTAATCAAAGCTCACAAGCTTCAACTTCAAAAGGACTTAGTTGAGATGAGGATCACAGAGCTTCCACACCAAAAGAACAGGATCAGCATCGACTGAACATAAATTACAAAGGTTCCATAAAACCTGTTTACATCAACTAACTGAAATCCAACTCAAATGAATGAAAACAGTGCAAAAATGACCAAAGTTACACAGCTACACATTTAGAAAAGAATTGTTGATTATGTACAAACAAACATGAGTCTTCAGCTGCTCTTCATTCAATGTAATAACTCACGAAAACTATTCCTTCTTGCATTTTAAGTCTGAAACTGATGTTATCCTTTAGGGAGAATGGAAGTTTTGCTGACCAACATTCATGAGGGCACGTGGGACAGAAAAGAGTCAATAATTTGCTGGGGAAACAAGCTGTTGGGTCTTAATTCTACTTCTAAGGATGCAATCTAATCCTGACTCAAGAAAGCTGGACAGGCTCTCAATGACTGCTGGAAGATTTATGAAATTCAAGTCTATTCTCTGCATTTACTACATCACACATCAACATCAACTCAGTATCAGCAGACACCTCGACATAAAAGTGTCAGGAGTTTACAGATGTTTAAATGCAATGATAAAACACTGAATTCCAAAGTCCTCCATGGCTCTACTTTTGCAAAACCCCATCTGAGCCTATAAATCTGAGAAGACTACCCACGCTGACCTGGCAATTATTTCCAAGTCCACTAACAAACAGCATACAGTAAGTTATACAACCTGCAATATTTCTTATTATAAAATTAACCAGAAACTTTATGCAAAAGAAATAACTAAAAGCAGGCTGTCTGTCACTGTGGCTCAGGACACAAACAGCTGAAATTGTGTTCATATACAGCCAGACCACCTTCAAAATGAATCTCAAATACTTGAAAGTATTCAGAGTTAGCCTTTAAATTTAATAAGAGAAAGCTTGCAAAAAGATTTAGAAATAAATGTACAAGTGAGAGTGGGAAAGAGATGAAATGTTGAGCAAGCAGGGTGCTCTTTACATGCTTAGAAGATGAAATTATTATATGATATTAAATAAGAATAAACAGTGATAACAATGTAAATTGAATGAATGTAAATGCAGCAGTAGCCAGAATACTTTTATCAAGGCTATGTGTTTATGTGTGTTTGTGTGTGAGATAACCACTGGATGCCTCTAATGATGACATTTACTGGAACAAATCAAATATGAGTGTGTGTATTAGACAGAGTGTATGCTAGTGTGTAAACATAAACATTAAATTGAATGTGATTATGGAGAATCTCTCTAATCAGCCAACACATTGTCTAATCAACCCACACACATTTCGAGCATGCACTCCACTTCAGGTCCAGTTTTCAAACACGCCGAAGGTCATGTGACTCATTCTGTTTCTATGCCTGTCACCAAAGCTCTGTTCAGCTGAACGGAAGGTCAGGACCTTGAGAAGGTGATAAAAAGTGCTGGCTGTGAAATTGTTCGTGGTATCTTGGGCATATCCAAGCAAGTAAAACTTTGTAGGAGACAAAGTGCTCGTTATGTGCAGTTTCTCAGAGGTCCTCTTCTCCTCCTCCATCTCCCATTGAGCTGCCTGACTCCCCACAGGGCTGACCCTAATGTATCCAGGGGATGTGTGGCTGAATCAATACCTCTCTAAGAAATGCCTCTCAACCAGAACTGCAGAATGGCTGATGTGTGCAAACCTCTTGCTCCAAGCCAATCAACTTTTTGCTTTAGTAATGTGGTCAAAAAACGCAGGAGGGAGAGAAAAAAATGTCCTCTGACAATGGAAAATATTTCAAGATGGACTTGGGATGTTGTGACAGATGAAAAAACTCTGAGTGACATTATCTTGGTGGTAGTGAATAAATGTCACTAAAGCAAACACAGACATAAAGTGCCCTGATGAAGTGCAGCCAAACTGATGAAATTCCCAGGTATGCATGCTGTAAAAAAGTCTTACACAGCCGCTACAGTTCCAGAAAGACTGCTTTGGATTCTGTGTTTGCCGAACAAATTGAAAGGCTAATTTGCTCCAAACCACACTCTCTGAGGCTCAAAAACTGAACGCTACAACAGAAATGAAGTGCTTTCTTTTATATGGAAGGTAAGTGTAATTATCACTACGGACCAATTGAACAGCAAGCTATGAGAATTAAACAGAATCACTGGCAGCAGTAAAAGTTAATGATTAAAGGGCTCAGTCTAACTCTCAGAGGTGTTAGCGATTGTGAAGTGGACGGTGAAACGAAATAAAGTCGTAGACTGAAAGGAGCTCGCCCCAGCACAGCAGCTCTGTGACATCCAAAACACTGCAGGTAGCGCACCTGAGCAGGCTCACCTCCACTGCACACGATGATTGCTGTCAAGATACGATCAGTGCAGGTTTTACAGTCTTCCTGAATAAACAGCGAGGTAAAGTGACACCTACAATGGAAACAGTCAGAACTAACAAAGGGAATCTGATTGCCTGCGCGGCTGCACATAAAATAGTTTATTTGCAGAGAAAAGCCCTGGAAAGTCACATACACCCGGCTGAACGTACACTGACCTCTCCACTATTTTTTTTCTTATTTTTACCTTGATGCCTTTCTGACAAAGTAGGAATGGGTGAACTCCAAGTGGTCGTCCAGCCACGCTTCCATCCTCTCGTTTTCCAGGGAACAACAGTCCTCCATGGTGGAAAAGCGACAACAGCGTCTCCCCACTGTGAGCTCCGATTACATTTATCCGCGGAAGACCCGGTACCGAATATATGTGGAGGAATAAAGAGGGAGCAAGGCGGGAGAGAAAGAGGGCGATCCGAGAGAGAGCTCCTCGCTAGCCGGTTGGTAGGTCGGTGCGCGCGGATCAAAGCTGTGACTGCGCGCTTCCTAGTTGGTCAAGCGACTCTGAGTGAACTGGAGAGAGAGAACGAGTGAGCGAGGGAGTGAGGAGAGAGGGGGTAGCAATCGAAAAACCCAAGTATGAGAGATGTTATAGTTTAGTTTCGTTTGTTTGTCTTGTTTTATGTAGAAACCACATTGTTAGGCTATAGCCTGACAAAGTTATTTCTACTAACTATTGTTGTTGTTGTTGTTATTGTTATTATTGTTATTATTATTGTTATTATTATTGTTATTATTATTATTAGATATAATATTAATAATGCTTAAGGTTATTTTAAATTGGAGGACGGTAAACACGACAACAATCGGTCTATATATATAAGTCTAATGATAATTTAAGTAAAGAAATAACAAATGTAACCTACTGCTATATGGGTTTGATTTGTATTGTTGAAATATTCTGCTTTGCTTCCAGTCACTGATGTTTGCCATTAGATGTTTATATGTTTGCTTCCATGGGTCAGCCAATCAGACTAACTCTGCATCTAAAATAGCGTCGTGTGGACCACTGTTCCACACACTTCTGCGTAGATAAATTGTTGTCTTTTATTAACTAGTTAGCGTATTCTTGCTACTTCCCTAGATTTTTTCAACCTGGGAACACATTACCAAACTAGCCCAACTTTATTTGAGACTACATATTATATCTGTACTGTAACAATGGGCATCAGCCTCTGGTTAGTAAGGTCCCATATTTGTGGTGTTTTGAAACTGGATGTAGAACACACTGTCTGGCTCTAAATATTCAGCTGTGTTTCAATCAAATGGGTAAAGTCTAATTTTGTTTATCCTTCTGTTTGACAGTAATATTTCCAAAATAAACTTCATATTGTATTCAATAAAACATGTGAGCTTGTGACTGAGATCATAAAGCCATAAGGAATGTTTTTATTGAGGTCATAGATAAGGGAGGCAAAGGGCTATTTTCCCATAAACTTGCATACAACCAGCTTGTTGACACCAGATGTGGCATCCTTCACTGGCTATAAGATTTAAAGCTTTTTTTTGGCATTGGCTCCACCTTTCACACTAAAAAAGGTGCACATTTATTGAACATTCTTTGTTTAAGAGAACCCAAGTAATAATTACCAAATGTTAAAACATTTGACGTCAGATCCCTGTCTGTCAGTGTTTACTGTAGACACTGCAGTGTGTGATATGTACATCAGTGCTGTGAATAAAGTACTTGTCTCAAAAGCAAAACTACTATAGGATACTAAAGTTTCAAACTAGGGCTGGGCAACCATGGTTAAAACAGCTTTATGGTAACCATCGAGTTGCCACACTTTGTGCAGCTGATGGTTCAAATAGTTAAAATAAAACATTTCTATTAATTCAGATTTTGTTGTATTAAAAGTAGAAAAAATATTGAGTGGTCGATTTGAATGAGTATACCAGTGCAATTTCAGGCACAATATGGTTTAAATTACATTTGTTTTTGGAGGTTATTTAAACATATTCTGATATATATCGTATATTGTGTTATAGCCCCAAGTATCCTTTAACAGAAAGAAGCAGAAATGTATGTCAAATAAGGCTTGTCATTTGTGGTTCACATTGTAAAAAGATGTGTTTTAATTTTTTTTCTAACTCTAACCAAGTACTTTTTGTGATTCAAACAGAAATATAAACAAACAGCAATAGGAAAATGTCACCAAAGCCTAAAAATGGCCCCAAAGCAAACTAGAATTCTTGTCCGCTAGTCAAAAGTCAGATCATGCTCACCACATCTACCACATTATTCTGACTAGATCTCAGTAAGATCATATTCTGAACAAAAAACAACATTTCATTAGAGTCAGAGATCTTACAGCTTGCTTCTTTCTGGTAACTCATGCTGAGGAGAAAGAAAGTTGTGCAAAGTCCAAAATTGCCTCAAGTTATGCCATTTGAATAAAACTGGTTAGCAGTGAGGACTATTAGCAAGTAGTGATGTGTCGGTCGTGAACGAAATGGCTCTTAGAGCCGGGTCTTTGACGTGAACGACGCGAGCTGGCTCCTTATCGCCAGCCGTGGGTTTTTTTCTTTTTCTTTCTCTCACCCTTTCTCTCACACTTTTTTTCCGCTTCACTCCGCACGCGAGCCTTGTGTTTTGCGCTGGGAAGAGGGGGGAGGGGCGGTAGTTACACTGGCAGTAGCACAGGAACAGAGCGGGAGGAAGAGAGAGAGAAAGAGAGCCAGGGACAACAACGTCACATTAGAAAGGTATAGTAATCATCCACAACTATTTTCAGTTGTGGATGATAGAGGATTCAGAAACTTTATTCATGCAGGCCCATATGACAGAGAATGTGCATGTTCTTTTTGTTTTCATATTTTAATTTATATTTAATTGTGTTGTGGTTTGCAGTGTTTTGTGTTGTTTCACTTTAAATTTGTTTAAAAGGAAAAAGCTGAAAATTTAAATATTTAAAAGTTGAAATGTGACTAGTTGGTTTTTGTATTATGTGATTTATTTATTACATTTTAGGTGGAGTGAATAAATAGAAGTATATTTACGGTGGCCCCTAGAGACAAAGCACGTACAAACACGTACAAAAGTGCTCCAGGATGCTAGGGGGCAGTGTTGGTTTTTTTTTACCTAGTGGCTACACAAGCCAGCAAGTACCAACGACCGGATTTGGTGTGTGGTAGTAACAGGTAAATGAACTTTTTTTTAATTATTTGAATATATATGAGTGCTTGTGTATAAATACATAAACAACACACATGCTTTCATGCTTTCAATTGTGTAATTTAAGTGATTTAGGTAGCTCTGTTTTGGAAGTTCAGTTAACGCTAGAAATGTGTTTTGGAGTTTGTACGTGCTTTGTCTCTAGGGGCCCCGCATATATTTATATATAAACATATATAAATAAAACCATTTTTTTTTTACATTAGTAATTCCTTTTGTGCATAATTTTATATTATTGTTAATAATAAATTAATTAAAGCAACAAGACAACCTGAAGAGCCGGTTCGGAGCCAAAAGAGCCGGCTCTTTTTAGTGAGCTGAGCCAAAAGAGCCGGTTCTCTAAAAAGAGACAGAAATCCCATCACTATTCACTAATGTTCCCTCTAAGCTGCGCGCATGCGCAGTTGCACACTGCGGGCACGGTCTCTGCGCACAGGAAAAACTTGTGAAAAAAAAAAATCTAACCTGAATTGAAAATAAAACTTTAACAATTCTGTTTTGCAGTGTTAGTCAGTAAGTGACTGGCTGCTCCCGTATGGGATTAGAACGATGCCACCTTATCCCATAGTCCAGCCAATAATGCGATTCACATTCGTATATACGCAGTTAATTAACCTCATTGACAGGCTATGACAGCGTCCTTATGTGCGACACCGGTGTTTTAGCTAGCAAAGCGGCGTGGCTGATGTGGAGTGAAGCCACGTTAATGACAACGTGTACAACCATTGGAGATGTGAGCAGGACAGACGGGAAAAGTGTGGACTTTATACCAGTTTTTAAATTGTGTTGATAGGCCACGTAAAACCAGAGTTATGATAAAAATATATGCAGTGTTTGTTTTTCCTGAATACTATAGTTGTTTATATTTACTGTGGTAAGAAACGGTAAAAACTGCATTTTACCATGTCGACAATCAAAAAATGACATGGCAACATGGCATTTAGTTGTTTAGGAAAGGGGGAAGTTTTAGGAGTGATGCCGGTGTTTTGAGATGAGAGATTTGAGACGTTTAGCGCAAATCTTGTGTAGTTAGTGTGTAGTGTAGTCAATAGTTTTGTTGTGTGTGTCAGAACAATGAGGCAACTGCTGAATGTTACAGGTGTTACAGCAGTGATACATCTCCTCAGGGCAGCTGTGGCTACAATGTAGCTTGCCATCACCAGTGTGTGAATGGGTGGATGACTGAATGTAGTGTAAAGCGCTTTGGAGTCCATAGGGACTAAGTAAAGTGCTATACAAATACAGGCCATTTACCATTTTATAGAACTACAAATTTCAACAAGGGAATCCATAAAAAAGTGGCTTTAAAGACAGCAAAGTCTACACTACAAAAAACCTAAAATCCAGACCTTTGATGGAAAGCATCAATCAAAGCTATTGCCTCTTCTTGTACAATAATCTCACTAGTGTTTAGCTCTTGACTACCTGCCTATGTTGCAGGATTCCACTATCTCATGGCTGGACACATTAAGAGCTGCATACATAATGGAGCAGAAGTTACCCTTATTTTACTGTTTCTATTTACTCTTTGACTATTTGCTTGTCCATTTAGTAGAAGGATGCATATGCCAGTGAGTAAAGAATCAGTCACACTAGTGTAAAAACAGGATTGCAATCTCGTTGTTGTGAAATTGTCATTAATGCTCTAATTTCCTCCCACTTGACTACTGCAGTTCACTTCACACCAGACTCAGTCAGTCTTCTCTTTCCCATATTCATCTTGTCCAAGATACTGGTGCCAGCTCCTCACAGGCACCCAAAAAAGAGATCATATCCCACCTCTTTTAGTTTTTCCCCACTGGCTGCCAGTGAGGTTCAGAATCAATTTCAAGATCTTCCTGTTTGCCCCTTCATGGTTTGGTTCCAGGTCCCTCCAGTCAGCTGACTTGATGCTTCTGACTATCCCTTGCTCAAGGTTTAAATTCATAGGAGAGTCAAATCTGTTCCCTCCACTGAGTCTACCCATAAAACTTATTTTTACTGACTGGCATCTTGACCGGCAAGTCTGTCTGTTTGTCTCTCCTGTGCAGGCATGATTGTATATGTTTAGCACACAAAAATAATCTCTATTTATTTCTTATTTCTTTGTTTTTTATACGTTGTATATGTTGTGAATTTGCAGTCAGTGGTCGTTTTTTTCCCTGCTTTTTGCAAATAGTTGCAAGTAGTTGTGGCATCCAATTGGTCATCTGGGTTGAGGGTTTCTCCACATAACTGCCATCCAACTTTATTATCATGAAAGGACTGCCAACTGCCAGTACACTGCAATGTTTAAAAACACAGGTGTATCATTATCACA